GGCTAGCTCATGTTCCTGCTGCTGTACTGTCCCTGCTGTCCTGTTCACTTGGTCAGGGTGACCCACTGTTAGGGGTATTCAAGAAGAGAAAACATGATTGGGAAATAGGTCTCCATAAGATTGGCCTGTGGACAAGCCTATGGGCAATTCCTTGATCAATGATTGATGTGGGTGGGCCCAGTGCCCCAGGGCTGGAGTGGTCCCGTCCCTAAGCATGTAGTCCTGAGTTGTATAGAAAGCGGACTCTGCAAGCCATGGGGAGAAAGCCATAAACAGCGCTCCACCACAGTCTCTGCTTTAGTTCCTGCATTTAGGCTTCTGCCTGAAGTTCCCGCCCTCACCTTGCTTTAGTGATGGACTGTGACCTAGGGTGTGTAAGCTAAATAAACCCTTTCCTCCCCAGGCTGCTTTTGGATATGGTGTTTCATCACAGCAATAGAAACCCTATCTAAGACACCTTCCAGGATGGGCTGTACTGGAACTCTGAACCAAAAGAAACTCTTCATTAAATGGCTTTACCAGAGATTGTGTGTAGCAAGAAGACAAGTAGCTAGTATAGATACATTTCATAGAAGTGTATTCTAAGAGATAACTTATGGGATATAAGGACTATAGAGCAAAATAATAGAATAAACAGACACCCCTGAGAGGATAATAGTAATACTGGCAACCTTAATTTAGTAATTTTTCTATGCAACATGGCTTGGTGGGAACAAGTGAGTTGTCACAAACATTTCCCTGGGGTGACAGAGGTCAGTATGAGTGAAGGACAGAGGTTTATGGGAAGAGAAGAATGAAATGGCTAAAGCCTGGTGTCATGTGACTATGTTAAATTGTAACACGTAGGGCCTGTGGTCATAGCAGTTCTTTATCCTAAGAAGATCAACTGAAAGAAGGAAGGGACTATTTGGGCTTAGAATTTGAGAACTTCCCCCAACATGGTAGGTTTCTATTGCTGTGCTAAAGGTCAGGACCCAAGGCAACTAGGGAGGGAAGGGCTTATGTTATCTTACAGCAAAATATGAACAGAAGTTGGGGCTGGAAGCTGGTGGCAGAAGCTATGGATGAATTCTGCTGACTGACTTGCTCCCCAAGGCTTGCTCAGTTTACTTTCTTATACCAGCCAGGATCAGCACCGCCCACAATGTTCTCCCACATCAGCTAAGAAAATGCCTAACAGACTTCCCTATAGGCAATCTGATGGAGGCAATTTCTCAACCGAGGTTCCTCTTCCCAGATAACTCTAGCTTGAACAAGTTGACAAAAAAATAAAAATAAAAAAACAAAAATAAAACAAACAAACAAACAAATAAACAAACACTTATTAGCCAGGACATCACGGTGGCAAGAATGTCAAACAGGTGGTTACATTACATCACAGTCAGAAAGCAGAGAGAGATGAATGATGGTATTCAGTTCACTTTGTCCATCCCCCCCTCTTTATTCAATCTTAGCTCACACTCCTTGAGAGAATGCTGCTGTGACGGTGTATCTTCTAGGTGATGCTAAACCCAGTCATGTTGATAGTATAAAGTAACCATCACACTAGACCGCTACACATGGCTATAGCATCCCAAATGGATTCAGACCTTGTGTTCAGGCTTGCACTGTTACAAAGGTATGGTACCAGTCATTTGGACAGGAGATTTTGGAATAAGGGCAAATAGTGGATGTGAGAGATGATGCTGAGAGACCCTGCTTTATGTATTTAAATTGGTGTGTGTGTGTGTGTGTGTGTGTGTGTGTGTGTGTGTGTGTGTGTG